CAGCTTATCTGGCTCAGATAGGCTCGTTTAGCCTGCTACTGCTACTGCTACTGCTACTGCTACTGCTACTGCTACTGCTACTGCCACCGCTACTGCTACTGCTACTGCTACTGCTACTGCTACTGCTACTGCTACTTACTACTACTACACTACTACTACTACTACTACTACTACTACTACTACTACTACTACTACTACTTCTACTACTACTACTGCTAATACCGCTACTATTGCCACTGATATTGCTTTCGTTACTGTTATTGCTATTGCTAGTTCTTTTTGTTGTTACTATTGCTACTGCTGTTTCTCTCACTATTGCAACTATTGCCACTGCTTGCTTTTGCTAGTACCATTATTCTAACTATTACTAACTACTACTGATTCTAATACAAATATTAATGCTGGTACCACTACAAATATTAATACTAATGGTCCTTGCCCTCATACCAGTACCAGCACAGACAGAGTCTAGTACTGGGACTATCACTCATACTAATATTATGACCATTTCTACTACCAGTACATTACTGCTAGTGTTACTATAACTTTCACTGTTCTTTTTTACTATTACCATTCTGCTACATGAGGTGGGTGAGGTCGGTGGCGGGGGTCCTGGAAAGAGACGGGTGGAAGAGGGAGCAGGGCGAATGCACACTGACCCCGAAACATGCCTCAACAAGGTGCCGAATTGCTCCCTCAGCACCGGACAGAAACAGCAATAGCTTGCCTCACGCACTGCAAAGTAGAATGATCGATTTGAAGCTGCTCGACCGCAGCAAGCCCGCGACACAAATGATTGTAGGGAAAAGGAAGCGGAGTGCTGATGATCTGGTTGACTTCGGAATACCTGCACTAGGATGCGAAGCTGCATCTGAGCAACAACTCATGACGCAACGCTACCCAAGACCCGCGGAGCACGAATAGGAGAGCGACATGGTCTGGGCAGTCACAAGCGGCACAAAGCGCTCACCCATGCCCCACCTGCACGCACTCACTCGCACACAATGACATCCAGTAGTCAGTAGTCACTCTCCTTGCCTAACAAACTCAACGCATCACGGCTACAACGTCAAGGTGTCGTTCTCCACTGCAACAGTTACTGAGTCTGCACCTCTTGTCTTGCATGCGAGGATCGTTCATGTTCCTGTAGCCAACCTGAACAAGCCAGCAAAGTACGCCAAGCACGCACAGGCACTTGTGGAATCTAGAGTTCTTGCAAGCATGGCGATGGAGGCAGTTAAGCGAGCGTGTCCCCGATGTCACTTCGGAAACAGTTCGCACACACTATCAGGCCGAAAGCCCGAAACAACAGGAGTTACCTCAAAATGCCGCACGAAGCTATGCTCCGTGCCTTTGCAAAGAGAAGCTGTCCACTCTGCAACGACTTGCGTTCTTGGTGGCTGTTTGATGCCCTCAGCTTGCACCCATTGCGAAGACACCGAAGGATGGAGGTCGAAAAACACCAACGGATCCCCTAGAGCAATCAATGACAACTGGCTCCCCAAAAACTCTCTTCTAGGGGCTTCGCGATGCTTCCGATGCTTTGCGAAAATGCCAAGACCCCGATAGCAACATCGGCTCTTTCGGGGATCTTTTAATGTTTCTGGGTATTTCCCAGAACATGAATGAATGGAGGCCGAAAACACTCAGACGTCCTGAAAAACGAAGGCCTGTCCGGGACGCTGGAGAAAGCCCACTGTCGCGTGATCTGTCCATATTTCAGCTTGCAATCATGCGGGGTTCGACAACCCGGCCGGGAAAAAAAACAAAACAATCGTTCGCATTACCTCTCTGAAGAAGCCTGGTGGATAGGCTTTGTTAAACGACCTCTCGGTGTGTTCGGACTTGTGCGTTCGGGACGTCCCATCATTTTGCAATGGCAGTCCCTGAAAAAACTTGCTTTTTGTGGATGGGCCCGGAAACAGGCCGTGAACGATCGTGGTCAAAACCTGCACTCCAGCGACAGGTACCTTGACTCAAGAACCTGAAGGAAGGTTGTGTAGACAAAAAAGGGTGGCGAACGGCGAACGCCTACCGTTTACAGAGAGCCAAGCCTCGTTCAACTTGTACACGAGGTACGTGCACAAGCGAATGTATGGGACCTCGCAGATGTTCGCAGGCTATCTCCATCGTGTCTGGGCAAGAAACATGTCTTTTCCTTGAGACGACGGCACGACTAATCTCAATGTCCCCGGCCGACTCCTCACAAAGACCAGAACTTGCTAGTCATGCCCATGCGCGACTTGCAATTGGCCTTACCTTGCTGCGTACATCTGCTTACCTACAAATCGGGGGGGGGGGGGGGGNNGGGGGGGGGGGGAGTTCTGCCTTTCCGCACAAGTGTTGGCCTGCACGCACTGCACTGCCAGGGCTCTTCTTCTATGATCCTCTCAATCCCAGACTCTAGAGGTGGTATCGTCTCTGACCTGATCATGTTCTGATTTGTCTCGCATGGGGTGTTCCGCAGTTTTCTGTGGACTTAGAAACCTCGCGACTCCCGAGGCAGGCTAGACGCTACTCATGATATGGACATTTGCCAGATACGTAGTTGTCTTCTTCTTCTTTCTTGAGCAGCCATGCCGTACACACGCCCGTGTCTCTGTTGGTTGCAGAGTGCTGCTCAGCTGCTCAGCATTCAGACGTCTGCATTTCCTTACAGGAAGGCGTGTTCGTGGCTGCTGGTGAACAACCCTCTTCTCGCCGGTCGATGTTGCTTGTACTTGTAAGGCCCCTGGTGCCCGAGCGAACGGGTTGGTAAACGAGAGTGAGAGCACAATGGCATGTTACTTTCCCCGCACTCACGGCTGCAAAGCCCTCAAAACCTTGTCCCACCACATGCCAATCGGACAGTCTGTGCACTAAGAACTGGTGTCACCCCAAGCTATTGAAGCCCCGAGGCCAACGAACTGCATTGTCAGCGTATCCTCAGGGTGGACGCTGCCTAAGACTTGTACTCCACAGGCCTAACACGAACCAACGTGTCCAGTTGTTGGCCGTGCTCATGTTGCAGGCTACCCATATGAAAATCTACGGTGCTTTAACGAGCCATTTCTCGAGACAGTACCAAACAAGGAAAACCCTAAATCCTAAGTGTGCACATTCCTCAGCACAACAACCCAAAGCCAAACCTGTGTTTTTGGTTGTCTTGGGACTGTCTAGTGGGCTGATTCGATTCACAGCCTCAACACCGCCAAGACACTCAGACGCACCTACCCGACCTTTTCACTGTCAAGGTATGCTTCGACTCAAACCAATTTTAAGGCACCCGGCCCAGTTTGTGTTCCAGGAGGGGTAGCATGCTGGGGTACAAGCGGAGCCACGTAAAGCAAGCGGACCCAAGAAACGCGAGCTTAAAGAAATGTATGCCTGTCTCGAACTGTCCTGCAGTGCGCTCGCTTCCGGTCCGAAGACTTCCTGCCCAAGCCATCAACCCCACAAAAAATGTTGGGCTCCAGGGTTCAAGTGCTCCTCTACCCCTGGAAGGTCGGAATACTGAGGTGTCGCCCAGCTGATTTGCGGTGCGGCGACAGCCCGCACCTCGAATGCGTCGGGCTCTGCCACGGGTAATCGGCAGCAAAAGCCAAGTGCTTCAAAGAACTAACGTTCATAAGAGCTTCCGAGGCAAGTAGCAATCCCATCCAAGCTGCGAAACTCACTCTCGTTCGTCAGACCCCTGGCACAGGCCAAACCACAGCAGTATTGCTTATGTCTGGTTTTAACGGAAGGCCTGATCCGATACCTGTCCCAGTCCACCCTGCGCTTTGTTTCCTCTGTAATTCTTCCTTTATTGAGACCTCCGGATCCAGCGTAGCTTATGGCGAACACATCAGTCACAACCATGCCCTGTCCCAACACCTGCCTTGATCAAGCAAGCGCGCATGCCTTCCACTCAGGGACCCACACCAAATTCCAGGTGAGAAAGCTTTCAAGATTTCGCTGGCGAGCGGCATCTGGAATGCGATGGCCATGATGAGGCACCATCGGACAGCCTCCGTTCTTTCCTGTACAAGGCAGTCTCTGGCAAGCCATGCTGCATACAATCTGCATGCCTCACTTGCAATCTTGTCATCGACATCCATCTCAACATCCTCCTTCCCAGCAGAATTCCAGATGACTGCGTGCAAAAAGCACTGCGATGGAACTTCTAAGCCTGGGTAACGGGTCGAGAGCTGGGACCAACTCGGCGCCAACGGAGCCCTTGGTGGTATGCACCCGCGAAATGAACTGGCTCTGCACGTGCATGCACCAGGGCTCCCAAAGGTCACAAAAAGAGACGGTAACACGTGCTGCAGCGATCTCCCACACAGACCCACTTCTTTACGTTGCCTGGACGAGGCTGAGCACCCAGCGTCTATTGCGCGACCCGCCAGCAAGAAAGACCAGATCTCAGATCTCAAGCACGCAACGCAGATGCTGAGGACCTGTGAAGGATAATGTCTGACAGTCCAGAAACTGAGGGGCCCACAAGTGCAAATAATCTCTCGCAAGACACAGAAGAAGTGAATGCAAGCTGCACGCCCCTCGGTTCAATGCTCTGACACTGCACAACTGCCGCATCATAACCGACTGCCTTCATGTAACGTTTGTACCCGTTGTTCGCACGGAAGATGAGCAGGAAAGAAATGGTTGAGCCAAGAATATTCTTCCTCACCAGTAACATGTCCAGGCAAGCCATTGTCTTCTTGCGTGGGATACTGCCTTGTCCTGCCCAAGTTGTGGTCTTCCTTGACGCACCTTCACGCTCTGAAGCTTGAACACAACAACCACAAGTAAATTGGAGCTGGGCCGCAGACAACCAATACGCAGCAGAGGTGTAAATAAGCATGACAATCGCCTTCACCTTTACCTCGAAGCTGCAGCGGCACGTCTGTGGCCCTCAAGAAATCCTGACTGGCCTCTCCCCAAACCGTTCCGTACCATCGTGCGATCTGCGTATACCATGACCTCACGCGAGCGAGGCAAAGCCCTGGCGCAGAGGGAAAAAGCTGCTTCCCGGGTCCCCGAACTGCGTTCGGTAGTAGATCATGCCTCGCTACTCCGCGTACGTTGGGTACGCCAACTTGACCATACTGGAGGTCTCTGAGCCGAGCGAAAAACCGACCCACTGGAGCGGTCATGATTTAGAGAATTGCTGGCTCAGACAGCCTTCTGAGTTGGCCTCTGACCTCATGCTTCGCGACTCTTTGTTCTGCAGCCGTGTGCGATGACAGGCCTCCGTGTGAGACATCGATACCGGCTAAAGCCGTCCCGTCTCAGCCTTGACCCCAGGAATCCGCGAGCGTGGCACCGCCGGTACAGCACTGCAGGGGTTGCTTCATGAATCGCCAAAGACATACCCAACCCGCAAGCCTTAAGATCAACAAGAGTTATGCTGCGAAAAGGGGCACCGAGCACGAAACAATATTGTGCACAATTTGTTCGCAGCGCCTCAACACGATGATTGTATCCACTCTCCCACCTCAGATGCTGCTGTGACAGCACAGGTGGTGAAAGAGGGCCTTCCAACCACATTGAGCAAACTGATTTGCCACGTGGCCGTGTGTTCGGAAAACTGGAGCTTGCAGAGAGGGGACAAGGGCGTAGTCAATTGATCATCAAACTATGCTCCTGTATTTTGAAGCCAGAGTTTTCCCTTGTCCGTCCGGACAACGCACCGTCATCGATGAATCATGCATACATCCATGCGACGCTCCTCTGCTTTCGAAGCATTGGCGAAACTTGACATGGTTGGACTTCTTCCGAGTCTATCGGAGATCCGAAGTCTTGATTGCTTCTTTGAGTAGGCTGGAGAGGACGACCCACTTCGATCGAAAGCGGACTGCTCAGCAGGCATGTAAGCATAAACGAACATCAGGGCGCTTGCGCAGGGCGGGTTTAAGACCACCTCGCAGTGCGCAGATCAAGCGAAGGAACCCAAGGGAAGGGCGGCGAAGCGACTCCGGCTGCCGCTCTGCGCTTCTGCCTCGGGCTGGGCGTCTGGACCTAAAGCGACGGCACAGGGCCGAGCACCGAATCGATGGCAAGGACAAAAGGAGAAGGTCTCGAAAGTCGCAGTCAACTTTTGTCCTTGCCGATGCACTCAGCGGCATGAGTGAGTTCACTGCCACATGTTAGAAAGCAGTGTCGTCTACCGAGGTTCCTTTGCAAAAGCCAGGAACCCGGTGGTCATCTTGCTGTGTCGCTGCCCCATGTACAACTAGTCAAGCGAGGGAGAAGGGAAGAGAAGTGAGCCAAACTGGCCACAAATATATGAAGCTGTTTCAAGAACTCGAACTTCGGCATGATTTGAGCCAATCGGTCCAAGGATGCAATTCGCAATAGTTCTCACTTCGAGCACAATTTCTATACAAAAATCGCGGTTGTGAGGTAATGCTTATTGCGCCACCGGAGACTGCAGAGAGCGATCCAGTTCATATAAGTACATATGAAAATCTCGGCTACCCTCGCAATGCTGCGAAGCAACTCGCAATTGTCCTCAGCGTCTCGCAACTCGAACATACACACACACACACAACGACGAGGCAGCTGCATCGCAAGTGACTACGGCCCTTCCGTACGTAGAGAATAACTAGTCCTGCTCACACCTGAAATTGCACACCGAGACTCTTCCTGCGCAACAATGTACTTGTACTCGATGACCTTGGCAGGGAGGCACATACAAGTAATTTCGAGACGTCCACTGGATCCCACGTCTTGCAGCCAAGAGGCTCCACGCTCCAAAGGAATCTTCAACTCAGCACACTCAAGCCGCAAGGCACTTGAGCGACAGACACTGAAGAGATGACCATGTGGCCTTTGCTCGCCAAACGTTGCCGTCGGTCCATGCCATGTGGACCTGGAACGGTATGCACTAGCTTGTCAACTGACTACTTCTACGGCGAACCTTTCGGGACAAAGTCCAGCTGCCCAACTCTTCACAGGAGCCCACCATGTAGAGGTTCTGACCTTGCATGCTTGAACGGGTCAGCCTCGCCTCTGACCCTTTTCATGCGTTCTTGTCAAACCACATCACTAGGTCTTCAACCGAAGGAAGTGGCGTATTGAACGCTGAACTCATAGCAATCGCCTGCAAGCACCGGGACATCTGGAACTCGCGCGTCATACCCAGCCGTATCGGCCCCGTACACCGGTCCCCTGTCCCCACCCGCCTCGCCCGGTGGCCACTTTTTGTGCTCGAGCAGCTTCTGCGGCTGCTAGCTCGCGGCGTATGCACTCATCCCAGGCAGCTTCCTCAGTGGAAGCTGTGTCCTTGAAGCTCTAATGCAAGCACGATACAACACCTTGCTGAATTGGAGTAGGCTCTGGCTGGAATGCTGTGCGCGGACAGACTCCCGAAGCAGCTGCTAGGCTGCTAGAAAGATAAATCATGGGACTGTGCTGAAGTCAAGGAGCATGCAATCGCACTTGCCTGAATCTCACCAAGTACATTCTGCCAGTTCTAAGGACACCAGCTTCAACCTACGCATGCCGAGTGTTCTTGGATTCAGACCTATTGGCTGCTGCTTCCCGATATTTCTCTCGATCAGGGCGTCGCCGATCCTTCTGGCCTCATAGAGACCCTGGAAGCCAGCAGTGCATCCGTCGAAGCAAAAGCACGGCCTTGTTGGCCGGGAGTGGTCTGAAGTTGCCCCGCACCGGCCATGGCGGCTCAGCGAAAGCCCGGCGCTTGCTGTCTACTTCATGCCTGCCTACATCTGCTTGCCACAGCTCTCTCGTAAAACGAGCACATGCAACTATTGTGAGCATGAGTCAAAGCATGAGGATGCAAAGGACTATGCATTCTGTGGGCGGCAGCATGATCTGCTACATCACACGAGTCAGCCTAGAGATGAAAAAGGAACAGCAATGCCACGAAGGTCTTCAAGCGAACAACGAAAAAGTGGCACATGGACAAGCAGAGGAAATACGATCTTTCTCAGAGCGGAATCGGGGCATGTGGCTCTCAGTTTCGAGCTCGACCCCTCGCCGCCTTGTGGTCCAGCTGCTATGTGCTGCTGTCGCATTATGTCAACTTCTCAGGATCAGACCACCTTCGCTCGCGGGAAACGCTGGTCTCTGTCGGCAGCCTCCTTTTTAACACGCTCCCTGTCCGTCGCAAACTCGATGACTCCTCTCTTTTCCTGGATTGAAGCAGCCGTATTGTCGGAGCTCTCTCGGCGCTGCAGACGTCCTCCTCCTGATCTCTTTCTTCATCCTTCTTCTTTTGCCTTGGTCTTTGGATGGGGCTTGGGACAAAACAAGACTTCAGACCACATCTGGGTTGCGGACCTGTCGTCTTTGACCTCACTCGAAGCAAAATGTCGCCGTCCCGTCTTCCCCTGTGAGGCCGCCACAGGTTCGGCGGTGGCGACGCGGCAGTTGGACCGCAGGAAATCCTCGCAAAATCTCGAAACCACACAAGCCCTAGGCACCGTTTCGCAGCTTCGCGCCTTGTCGTGTAGCAACTTGCCCTGATCGCTGAAGTCCTTGTGGGTGGCTTCGCTGGTGATCTTCACGAGCCTTGCAAACGCAGCGGAGCGGAGGCGGAGGCGGAGGAGCAAGAAAACTCCGCCGCGTCCTGGCCTGGCATCGGGCATCTCTGCGTGGGCCCGATCCAAGAACTCGTGCACCACCTGCACCTCGCAGCCAAGCGAAGAGAAAGCGAAAGCGAAGCCAACACTTCGCTAAAGCTTCGCTAGATTCAAACGTGTCCCTTCGATCTTCTCTAGAAAGGCTCTTGCTAGGTGATTGAAGAAGCGCGGAAGGTCAGACCTGAATCACTCACCCGCACATGTAGCACCACTGGCTCCAAAGGGAAAGGGCTTGGGCGACTGCTCAGCGTGCACTGCTCTGATTTCCTGGATGGGTGCCTTCAGTGGGTGCTCGGTTCTGACGTGTTCTTGGCTCCATCATCTTGCTGAGCAAATCACCAGCGACTTCGCGAGTCGGTTGGACCAGCCTGACTGGTGAACCCTTCTAAGGCCCGAAGCACCCGTGGTGCCCCTGAAAGCTTGACAGGGCCTCCTTTGAGATCCTGCATGGACTCTGCGCTCTGAAGTGCTGAGTTTCCAGCGCTTGAGGCTGTCGACAAGCAGAGTGCTTTGCTTCAGTTGCTCTTGCACGTCCTGGGCCGAAAGGGAGAACGACAGATTCGATGCAAAAGGCGGAAGGCAGTAATCCGAGGCTGATTCCGAGTGATCTTGCCGGACATCTTCCAGCATTTGCTCAAACTCGGTGACTTCAACGCCAAGTCCTGCAAGACTCATGCTGGATGAAGGCAGCGGTGTCTGTGCCTTTGCCCTTGCCAGCGCTGGGCCGACCTCGAGTCTCGGGCTTGGCATCGATCAAGGCCTTTCAAGTCACACGAAACAGACAGAGACACAGAGAGAAAGAGAGAGAGAG